AGATGCGTTGTAGAGAACTAATTTAGAAAAATTGTATCAAATCGAACACGGGACCTCCACATCCAGTCCGTAAAAAAAATGGTAGTAAATTAATTGAATTTCATTCGCTTTGTCTCATTTAAACCATACTTGCGTTGATTCTTCGCGATCAAGAGACAAATTTGTTGGTTTTTTTGATCTGTTGAATTGTCTTAAAGGATTAGGTGATGTTTATGACCAACGTGAAATAAAATACAAAAATAATACTTAGACAGCTTTATCAGTACCTGTTACAGTTTTCACTGAGCACGTTATACCATTTTCGTCATTTTTCGACCGCATACATAATTTGCGTTGCTAAACGCGTTAAGGTGGTTTTCCACTGGCGAGAGGAAACGAGACTAGAATTGAAATCTTGCTGTACTATTTCCACCGAAAATTCTGAGAACCATCGCGATAGTAAAGATCCAGTGCTGTTCATTTCATCAAGCAATAAATACGCTGCTGATATAACGTGTCCCGTAAATGATTATTATTATTAAATATGTTAACGGAAGTAGAATCAGATGAAACCATCTTGTTTAAATCTCAACTCATAAGCGCCCCATAATCTTATGACTCACACTGATAAGCAATCGCGTGCGGGCACTCGCGAGATCGCGCGAGCATGCGCGTGAACTCGTGTTTCCGTTGCAGAGTGTAAAACTCACATGTGTGCAGTTCACATGGCTCAATATTACATCAACAAACATTTCAATTATCGCCTCGCCCATCCTTGTCAATCCAGACCATTTCCACCGAAGATAGGCGAGGAGAGAAATGAAATTTTGTCATACACACTTCAATCCTCCTCTCACCTCGTCTCGCCTCACTGGTGTAAAACCACATTCAGAAGACAGTTTCATGTCACATCAAAAAGAGTGTTCGTTTTTATAAGGTATGATATTGTTAAGAATTGACTCCTGCCAAAAGACGTACGCTGTAAAACGTCAATATCATTGATTACAAATCTATAACATCTAACACATAGGTATAATGAGAACATACCGGCGACTGTTTAAAATCGAACCTTACGTCGAAAGCATCCAATAAAGGCCCATTTAGATGGAAAGAGTTTATCGTCTCGAAGATACGATTATCGAAAGAATATAAAAAAACCTTACTTTAAAAAATTCTACCACGAGTGCAGTGCGCGAGGGTGTTTTGTATATCACTGCTTTTCTAAGACAAGAATTAATGAAACGACAAAGAAAAAAAATTTGGATTAAGAAATGTTATAAAATTTGAAAAAAAAAAAAATTAAAAAAATGTATATTTCTATACAGTGCAATGAACTTAATATTATCAGCAGGTCCAAATTTGAATGATTTTTACGTCATTTTGATATGTCCATAGTTAATACCGCAGTAATCACTGAACTCGGATGGCAATTCTCGCACTCAAAACGGTTCGAACCGATTTGTACGATTATCGTATGAACTTGAAAAAATGTCATACGAGATCGTGTTTAGACAAGTCGAAAACTCGTAAGCGAGAATCTCCTTACTACATATTTCTCTGCGTCGAGGAGGCGGTTAAGTTGCTTGCGAATCTCGTATGACATAATCGTAGGCGAGAATTTTAGTTCTTGCCTGAATGTAAACATTATGATACGATAATCCTATGGCGATTATTGCTTACGATAATCGCGTACGATTTTTCGTCACGAAGCGTGCGATAAACTCTCTCCATCAAAATGGGCCTTTAGTCGGAAATATAATAAAAAAAACTGAGTGGGGTGTCTGGCGCGCATAGCCGACGAATCACTGAAACACGAACAGCTTAACTTGTTTATAATAAAACGTGGATACAATTATGTAATGAAATTCAAAAGTTGACTTTTTTTACCAAAGTTATTGAAAAGTACGATTTAACAAAATAAAAATAGTCTAAACAAACCACAAATATAATTGATGGTATAAATAAACTGAAAAAGGATGATAAAGAATATTGTGACATATTTCGAAATAACCAAATAAGACTTTGGCACGAAAAAGTTTCCTAATGATTTTATCTCTATATTAACATCAACATTCCCATCTTATGGTTATTTGCTAAAATAGGTACCTACCTAGTTACAAATATAGTAAAATTTAAGAAAGATTTTTGAATATAAAGACAATAATCTAAACGCGCTTAAAAGTAAGAAATTAACCCGTGTTCATATACATATAATTACTTTTAGGATCACAAAGCTATGAAATGAATATGTACATGTTTACTTACAAGATCGTGTTATTAAGATTGTAGATGCTTGTTAAGCTCTGGTTTCCTAAGGTAACGATACCATCACTTATCGGGGAGCCACGTAAAAAGTTCGAGATTTTAACGGCCGTGTTTTTACGGAATGCAGAACCATAGACCAGACATTGTATACAGAACACCAAGAAAAGTGTAGGACTTTTGGCATTATAACTATATTTCAAAGATGAATTATCATCAGAAGACAAAATAATCGTATGAGAAAAGTGATTTATTTATTTATTTACTTATTTACATGTACAAAACTCGAATTAAGTTCACGTATTGCTCCAGTTGGAACCTATTCACTAATAAACTGTTCACTGCTGTTGAAAAACACGACTGAAAACTGTTCAACTCTGTAAAGACAGTATTCACCCAATGTTGAGTAGTTATCTTCCAATGTATGCCAATCCTTTCGATCTTGTGCGTTCCTCATCCAATTTTTCCCCGCCACTTTGACAAGGGCATAAGGCTATATATCTACCCTTCTGTACCTTTTTTCTCCGTCTGTGGTTTTGTTTACTTTCTTTTTTATTTGACCGTAGTGACAAAAAAATGCTCTCGAGGAAACCAAGCCATATTATTTTTGTGATGTCATCGAACGCTAAATGATTGCACAGCTATCCTAGGAAACCGTAGATAATCTTCCGCAATTTATGACATTTTATTTTAGGTATATTTTATTATAATATAATTATTTGTTTCCGAATTTCGCGAACTCATGGTACACTATATATTACAACAATGATATAAAAACGAGATAATATTAATTTATGTACCTACACCTTTACAAAGTGCCAAAGCATGTAGCAAGAAAAGTTAGAATAAAACCTCTTGAGGAACGATTAAAACAAACCTTAAGACAACTTATGCGCATGCAGCCGTGTAAATTATCACGTGTAAAATTCTAACAAAACAAGGTTGGAGGTAAAAGGATTAAAATTAACAAAAATTATTCAGTCTTTAAATTAACATAACCACTTACTATACTATATTTTTTATATTAAATACCGAGAGATCCATTATATCTATTACAAACAAAAACGCAGGATGTAACATTCAAATTAAATAAAACAGAAATTCAAATTAAAATATTAAATACGAAAATAAATTAGTGTGACCAGAGATTGGGCAGAGTATATTTACCTAAACTTCAAGGAAGTAATACACAAAAGAGTGGACTTCACCTCCTCTTTTGGTACATTTTTTGTAACTAACACTTACTTCATTACGGAAATTAGAAGAAAGGTGCTGTAATTGTTAGGAAAATTCAGTTGTGTTGTTTTTAATCACTCCGGTGTGTGTTACTTGAACTTTAGGTATGATATCTAGACTTCAATTTAGAAATCGCAAACATTTATTTTAGAAATAAAATGACTCGCATCATTCTAAAACAGCGGTCTTTGAAATTGAACTCCTAATCTAAAAACGTAATAATTTTATGAAACAATTTCAAATAGGAGTTCAGTTTTCAATTTTTCAATTACGAAATCTGATCATGACAAAACATTCAATTTTCAATTAATAGAAATGACGATATAATTTTTAAAAGGTTTGAACTGTTTTTACTCTTCTCCCATCTTTACCACGCTGAATATTTTATTTTCATCTTGCATATTGTTTGAAATAAATAACCTACACCTACAGTTAACTGGGCGATATACATGTAGTATTTACAAAAAAATGGATTACTATACTCGTACATAGTGCTCATTTGACTAGTCAAGTACATCTATGATCGATACGTAATTATTTATTTACTTAAACGCCTTTTAAGCAATTATGAAAGTAAACTTATATAATATTTTAAATTTCAAATCGAATTGGTATTAAAGCATAACAATTTGTTAATCTTTGTAAAATAACTCGTAAAAGTGTATACAAATGAAAAGTGAGCAACGCACTTTGTTCATTTTAAATAAAGTAACAAGAAAGTCGACAAAAATTTTTTTTGACACCAAACAACAACAACAACAACAATGTCGCATCTAGACGACTAAAGTCTAAAAAGCTATTATGTTATTTAACTTCACGTCATTATTGTTGTTTTCGGAATCTATTGCAGACATACACTTCCTCCAACATAGTGAAAACTACATTCATAAGCTAATTTAATAAACCTATGTTATTAAATATGGCACTGACGTCTAATACCGGTGTAGGGCATTTGACTGTTCGTGAATTGCCGTTAATTTATATTATGATTCCAGTATATTGAAACACATAGTGATAATGATAAGGGTGTTTGTATGTCACGTATATTAACAATATATCAGTGGAGAAGTCGTACTATTCTGTTTTTCACAAAATCTTAATGGAACTACAAGTTTGAGTTTGAGTTTGAGTTAGTCATATCCTAGTGTAATTAGCTGCAGCTTCACATAAAAACAGTTAAATACCCTTACGTCGATTCATAAATAAGGAATTATTATGTAGTTTACACGGATTGACAACTCTAGGTGGGTCAATCACCTTTTACTGGCTGTAACTAAATGTAAAACGCAATTTTAAAATTGACTTACATTTTTATAATTAATAAAAAAATCTTATTTGTCTGTAGTCCAAATAGAACTTTTTAAAAATTATTAATTTATCCCACTTCCATCATAATTATATCTTTAGAAAAAAGTTGTCATCAATCGTGAATATTTTCTTGAAAACTGATCGTATCAAATTATTTTTGAAACAGGTATAATATAGAAAAAATAAAACAATGTTTTTTTTACGATAATTTCGTAAAAAGTTCTAGTAATATAATAATATAAATACAGTAGATGTAGGGACAGGCAAAAGTTTAAGTTTTTCATTAATTCTTTCAAATGTAATTCATGAAATGCACGTTTCAGATGCACAGCTAAGATATAACGACTACCGTATTAATCAATTCGTAGTAGTTGGTGACGCTATAATAAAAAAAAATTAAAGAAACTTCGATAGCTCGTGGGGAGCTGCGGGATAGATGAGTTCGCAAGGTACGATTAAATTAAATCTGGTTAGTAAAATTACGGACAGAAAAAGTCTGAATGACGACACACTACAGAAAATTGTGTGGGGCTAATCTAGAACGTCTGGCACAGACCAAGATTACAGTGAGATCTTAAAAATGTTTTGTAAATTATTTACATTTTTATTTCGACAAATGTTTTAGCGGACTCATTTATTAGTGAAAAAAAGACTGAAAGGACGCTACGTTGAGCTTTAACAAACTAACTATGAAATGGTTTTAAATTTCTTCTTGGCTTCTTTTCTTTAGGTTAGTAGCTAAAAGCTGTCCTCCCCAATAAGTAACCATACCAAAGGTTGCTTCCATATTTATCCTTGGAGAAGGAATTTGCACAAATTGCTTAGAAAACTATTATAACGCTTTTTAACGTATATTACAGTAAATGGTTTGTAGATAAATAAATTAAGAACGTAGACAGAAAAGTTAAAATGAATATTAACGGACCTCTGATTTTTTTTATTTCAATAGTAGTGGTAGTTCAGATTCATCAATAGAGGCAAAATCTTTAATACGCACATTTATAGCGGCTTTGTCGATAGCTTCTAGTCCTTCAGGAGAAAGACCATTCAGTATATCGTCAGCATTCTGCAAAGAAGACATAAAAGCATTATCAAACCACTAATTAAAAAAAAATTCAATCACGAGAGGATGATATAAAAAAACATGGAAAACCTTTTTGTATCTATTTGCCTTTCTTCTTCTTTGACCGAGTATAATTTATAATTCGGTTGTCTTTTGGCAACAGCAAACCGAATAATTAACATTTTAAGGGCAAATATAACTGAACAAAGTATAAAACAGCAATTCGCACAATTTTAGCAGTAAATCGCAAATACGATCTATTTTCAACATTCAATCGCAAAGCTAGTATTAAGTTGTGAGAATAGGTATCGCTCAGTTATTAATTGTATTGCCAGTCATCGAAGGTTTGAATGAATATTTGAAAGTGAACTGACAAATTGCGTAGTGCAAACAGTGTGTGACAACTTTCTTCATTTCGACTTGCTTCTTAGTCCTTAAAAAAGGCCAGGTTAATAGTATCAAGAATGGCAGGTACGAATAGACTGATAACAGTGGAGGAGGCGAATGAGTTTTGTCAGGAGTGTAGCGAGGGTAGGTTCGTAGTTTTTGCCTGTCCTAGTAGAAGGCAGATGTGATAATATGTGTGTGTGATGATGTATGTATGTATGTATGTGGAATTAAGAAAACAAAACTTCTAGCAAAGATTTAATTGCTACTTATAGACAAGTAGTTTCGTTACAAAGGTTTGCCATACTTACGCTTTCTTCTGCAACTACAGCTTGTTCAGGTTCTTGTTCGTTTACTGCAACAAGTGCAAGTTGTTGGTTAGCATACTTTATTTGTCTGTACTTATATAGATAATAATTATTGTAGTTATACTCACTATTTTCTACTGGAAATTCTCCCAAATCTTTTAACGCCTGTTCAGGCGTTTCGGCTGCGTCTAACTGATTTTCCGTTGTCGAGGGTGACATCAAGGGTGCTAGTGCTTGCAGTACGATTTGGGGTACGGGCTGCACCTGGAGCAGCAACGGTTCGTGTTGCAGATCGAGCTGCGTGATCGAGGTACTGACCGACGCAGACGGGTAGACAGCAACCGGTACAATTAATGATACTAGAGTTTGAGTGATGGTTGGTATTGTTCTTACTTCAACCCAGCTTGTGGATGTTGTAGTTGAAGTATGAACCTTGTCTACTCTCTTAAGGGCATTCGATTTGGAAGTAGGTGTCTTTCGTATTTTTTTTTGCTCATCTCTTCTTTTGTTTTGTTCATGACTTCGTCGTTTAATACCTGACGGTCCGGGGATGGGTTCTACTTCGGCCGACACAGGCTGTTCATTTGATGATGGCACGTTGATCACCAAGCTATCATTTCGATTATCCTTCACTTGAGACTGACTGCGTGTATTAGAAACTGGCACTGGGCTGTTTGCAACCCCCGATTGGGTTGTAACGGGGGGTGGTGATTTCGATGGGTCCATTGGACGGTTTCGACTCAGGAAGAAACGGTACAAGCGCCCTTCGGACTCAATATTCCTGGACGTTACGTTTAGGGGTTCAAATTTCGTAATTTCGTCAAGTTGTCTATGCGAAAGCTCTTTTTCTTCTATATGTTCTGGTGCGTCTGTTTCACAATCTACTCTGTTCTGCATTTCGTCTTCACCGGGTTTGTAATCAGAATTTGTATTTTTATAATCCATTTTTTGGTATTTAGTAGGTGATAAACCATTATCTTTAGTAAAAATGTTAATAACATTATAAATTTTATCAATAGCACTTATTATGCGTTCTTTCTTTGGAGGGATTATAGCCAGAGGGAGTGTGGAAGAATCACCTTTATCAGGCAATGGGCTCACATTCTCTGGCTTCGGAGAAGGCAGGTTGGTCACCAGGTGCAAAATGACCTTTTCTAAAGCGCGTGGATCCTCAACAGTCAATTTGCTCTCGTTTCCCTGTGAAAGACAAAAATTTGGATTTTTAGATATACCTGCACTACAATGTCTCATTACTACGACCTACTAGAAATATTAATTAGACTTTTTTTTTCATTTTAAACGTATTCATATCATACATAATTTTCGCGCTATTCGGCTTATCATTTCAAAATTTAAAAGCTTTGCTCAAGCCTGTTCGAAAATTTTTGCATTACTTTCAAAAAACAAACGCGGCAAGTTAGTCATTTATAGGCCGTGCGACTTCTTTCCGGCCAATGACTGCAAGTAAGTATGAAAATCTATCAAGAGTCGATACAACCTCAAATGGCTTTGGTTGGTGTCACATAATGGTGAAAGTGTTGAATTAATCACTTTGGAAAAAATATATACGTAGTAAAATTGAGGATATACACTGATTAGTATAAGGAGTGAAAAAACGATTACTAAAAATTTTTACGATAGAAAAAAAAACACAAACTTACCTCGAAACTTTACAAGAAAACCCGCTGTATTCAATAGGTACTTTACATACACCAATGATTTTTTTATATCAACTGAACTGAATAGAACACGTAAGTATATTCCATTATACACTTTTCAAATGGCCTTAATTTCGTTTAAAAATAAGTTCAAAAATAAAGCAGGTGTCCCTGTCGCTCGACTCGCGCAACAGAATCGATTCAGTACGGGAAAAATTTGAATTCGAGCTGAGATAGTATCGACTCTTAATGTCCGCTAATTTAAACTTTTAAATCGATCTACTTACAATTGACAACAATCGTCCAACAATGAACTATATAAACAGGCAAAAGAAAACTCATACAGCCAACTGCTCAGCGTTCGTAATTGCAAGAATTAAACATACCTTCTTGTACCATTTACTTTTTTTTAAACAAAAAGATGGTAAAATAAACTAAGTGCTTTGGTAGGTATTCTTTTCTGTTGTTTAATAATAATGTGAATAAATGATAACAAAAACACAGTCATGGATTGTACTCTGCCTATTTTAAAACAAGAGGCAATTAACTATGGAAAACTTCTTGCCGGCATGGAAAACTGACAATCTGTTGAGCATAGTAAGATACGTGAACTGGAGAACCACATGAACCACATCATCAGAAATTCAGTAGACTACCATTAATGTGCTTGGAAAAATAATAAGATTTTATTTTGGCTATTGTCCTAACACGTGAAATATCACTTTTAATATTAATTAATATTTTTTTTATTGTTTCTATTATACGTTTACCACTCTTTAGTCTTTTATTATTTCCTCACATTATTTGAGAAAAGTATTACGCATAACTCGACGGGAACGGGGATTGCCTCTCTCGTATTAAACATATACTCGTCCAGCAATCCCTTATGTCCCGGCCTCTGCTATAATGTACTATTACTTGAGTATTAATTTTTATCATCATATTTATGTACAGTTATATAATTATCTATGAATAAAGAGGGTTACGAAGCTACGTGTCGGTGCTACGAATCTGTGCTACGCGAGTAGCCCGATCCCGGTACGAGTAAACGGTCCGATCCGTCTCGAGACAGTAACAGCTTCAGCTGCGTGAATCAACAGGTGGATAAACCGTAAAGGTGTAGAGATTCGCTCTGGACCTTTTGGAGGGAAAAGTGTCGTTTTTATTTTGAATTTCAATTATTTTGTGAAATGTAGTTTAAAGTGGAATAGGATAGTGCTATTGTGCCTTAATCCAAGATTAAAACGCGAAATTATACGAATCTCGAACTAAAATACCCGTATCGGCCCGTTTTAAGGAATCCCGAGTCAATCCAAACACGCCGCCTCAAATTGCCTATCCTCTTTGTGGCGGCCAAATTTACAGAAACATAATTAAACTTCATGTTTAGGCTGATGGCTTTGCCAAAGCCTTAATAATATTAAAAAAAAAAATAAACAAAGTTGTAGACACACTGCTATCAGGATGAAGTGTGTTCGCTACGAAAATGTCTAAATAATTTATTGTAGGCGTTCAATTCGCAAATAGACAAGTCTACTTCTTAGTTGATCAACTAGCTGGATTTAAAAATACGAAGCGAAAGGATTCCTACTTGTTACTGACACAACATGTCAACAATTAGTATGTACCAGATTGAAATATGAGAGTTCTGAAGAAATCCTTATAATAGTATAGTAATCAACATTAACTACCGACTTTTTCCGAAAAACATTTAAATGCTAATTGCATAAATACACACAATTTTAGATAGTAGTAAAAGTAATGCAAAAGCTCTTGCCTTAAATAATAAACAAAATCGACATAAAAGCATCACAATACGATTTAAGAAATACGTCAAATAATCAATTGTTATTATTGAAGTCTGTTTTATATGAAATAACTCAACTAGTTTGTTATGATTATCAATACATAGATCGAACACTCAGAAAATTGACCACGCACTACCGTAGCGTGGCTCTGTATGGCACCGTAAGCCGTAAAACCAGTGCAAAGATCTATAACGAAAACACATAGGAGAATTTCGTCAACTCGATAAGTTGACCTGTAGCCAGTTGATATAGAGAAACGCTGCTGTGCAGCGTGGTTACAAAGTGTCATCGGACAAATAAAACATCTTTTCGAAAAGCCGAAAAGTTTTCGGAAAAACAGATTTACTAGTTTGCAGGAGATAACCCGTATATACATAATATATGAAATCAGTGATCGCTAAGGACTAAACAGTGTCTACAATTTCGTGACCGCCCAATATAATTTAGGAAGAAATAATATAGGAAGTAGTAACAGTAGTTCACTAGTCAGTAGCAGTAGAGCTCCTTGAGAAAGAGTTCGTCCAGGGAGCAGTAATGTCAGCAATATTGTGTTCCGGTTTTGAAGGATAAGGGTGCTGGTGGAATTACAGGCACATGGTACTTGTCAACTTATGTCTCAGGGTGACGGGTGCAATTGTAGTGCCTTTCAGATCTTTGCGATTTAAAGCTCTTAGTGGCATTGCTACTGTTATGGACACGCGTGTAGCTTGCCATCAGGCGTACGACTTGACCGTTCCATCACTTGATATTATAAAAATTAAGTAGAATAGTTTCCTGAATATACAATAATAGTAATTCTAGATAAATCAAAAGACTATCACCAGTTATAGTATTGTCATTATACTGAACCGCCTGTATATAAATACTCGCTCTGTCCCATCTGTGTCCCATCTGTGTCCCAATGCCGGGCAAAAATATCTACTTTCACTCTCTATAAACCGTAAGTAAATGTTACGGCCCGATTCAGATGACAAGCGTTACAAGTGCATTGGACGCACGTTTTGCTAAACGCATGCTTACATCACGAAATGTGACGTCGATCTCCAGAAGGATATTTTATCCAGCCCACTTCAAAACTTCGCACAGCACAAATAAATCTAATTTTATAACGTTGAAAATATGATTTTATTTTAAAACCATTACAATAATTATTAATTTCAACAAAGGAATCATCTATTGTAAGCTGGACTATTATGCTAAACTCCTCCCAAGAATAAAGTTATTAAGATTATAAAGGAAAAATCAAACAGCAGAAATAAAATTTCAAAAATCTTTTACATGCACTCGACAATGCATTAAGTCATAATAATGAAATTGTTGATTGTTAGTAAAATTTGAACTTTACTATTCATTAAATTTTTTAATTACTTATTCTTCGCATAGCACAACTGCGTCTTATTTTAAAGGCTAAAATATGATTTTATTCCATAAATTAACAACTAAAGCAACTTTTGGGCTGATGTCGTTACAGAAATTTAAATTGAAAATGCGTAGGATTAAGTACTAAGGATAAAAGTTGCATTATCACTTTTAAACAGCTCTAAATATGCTACGTTGTGATTGGAATTACCTTAATAAATTGACATGTATTCTTACAATTCTTAATACTGCTCGCAAAGCACACTAGACCTATACAATACAATAAAAAATACAATACATTAAGCAACAGTAATACTTACATCTAACTATCCGAATCACTTACACATTGTAAAATCGGAGTCTCTCGCAAACTTTCGTCGCGAACAAAGGTAAAGAAAAAAAAAGTTATAAATAGAAATATTTCACCATCTATATGCAAGAACAAAACAAATAAAGAAAATGTTCTATTTAAACACTATTTCAAATTGGTATCAACAAATTTTCGTAAACTAGTATTTAATTTATTAGTTACGTGCGCGACGTCGTAGAAACAAATGACGAATGGGCATCCCCTGTTTGGTCGCTGAATGGGGTTGCAGCGCTACATCAGACAAAGATGCATATAACCTGCATTCTAAGTTGCTACTCTACAGGTAAATAGTGCTCTATAAACTGAACTTTAAAGTTGAAGTTTACTACATTAATGTTGCGTGCTCGCACTCACGTCTCTTTGCATCTGAGCTATAAGATGCGTCGTGCGCAGGTTGAAGGAGCTTCCTGGAATTTTGGTAGTGGAAATGGACTAATGAAGCAATGAGTGGAAATTGTAATTAGCATTTTGTAATCCTATTTTCTTTAAATTAAACAAATATTTATAACTTTTTGGTTTTAGTTTATAAAATTTATATGCAAAGTTTTGAAATCGGTTTCTTTTTATAAAATTACTTTTTTAAACTGTCACCCTATCCGAAAATATTATTAAAAATAATTTTTTACTTGAGATTTTGATATTAAAGATAGGTACACACATCAAAAAAAGTTTGCGATCAATAGCATAAGCTCCTATAATTCTTTAAATTTAACTTTATCAAGAAAAAATCTATGTTGTATGCTTTCTTTAAATAGGAATACCCTGTTTGAAATTAAAATATAAAACTATTTTTTATTATTTATTTTAGAAAATTGAGCCATTAATCATAATGTGATAGTGATAGAAATTTCATAGAAAGAAAAAGACTGTTTAATTAAACTTAAACAACAATTTATTATTAAAAGGTGTGAATTCAATATAAAATAACTCCTCCCCTGGCTCGAATACATGCGAAGATCCTCCTGGGCATGCTGAGGATCAAGTTATCCAGCATTTCCTGGGGTAACCTATCCCATTCTTCAATAGCGGCTTCCCTGAGCTCTGGAACTGTTTGGGGACGTGGCTCACGGTTCCATACTGCTCGTTTAAGAGCATCCCACGCGTGCTCTATTGGGTTTAAGTCGGGCGAGCCGGCAGGCCAGTCTAATCGTGTGATATAGTATTCTTGAAGAGCAGCATTGACTCGTTGAGCTCGATGTGCGGGCGCATTATCATCGACCAGTACAAATTGGTGCCCATGGTTTACTCGGAATGGTCTGACGATACCATCAATAGCAACTGCTTTGTACATGTCTGCTGTCATGAAGCCCCGATACGGGATCAAAGGCGTTCTAGCTCCAATCATAATGCCACCCCAAAAGGACACCGATTTTCCGCCTTGCTGAACTGTTCCAGTGGCAGTTCTTTGTCTTTCACGGTCGCCTGGTCTTCTCCAGACACGAACACGTCGGCTATCTGGATGAGTGCTGATTCGGGATTCGTCAACGAAGAGACAGTTTTGCCAAATGTTTTCGTCCTCACCTTCTTCATTTTGCCGAAGTCTAGCCCACTGCAATCTTCGTTGTTGACGTTGCCGGGAATTGAGCGGAGCTCGCCAAGACCTCCGTGCTCGTAATCCAGCCTGGTGCAAGCAATTGCGAACGGTCTGCGTGCTAACTTCAAGCCCAGAGGTGGCCCTGACTTCTGCTTTTATTTTAGTGGCGTTGATTGTTGGATCACGGGCTGCCAGCAATCTAATATAGCGCTTTTGGGCAGCTGTCAAAACAGTTGGGCGACCGCTGCGGGGTCGGTCAGCTAAATTCCCCATTCCGTGATACCTCTGCAACGTAGCCACGACACAGGATTGGGATATAGCAAGTCTGCGTGCTATTACTCTCGTGGTGTATCCTTCTTCCCTCAAAGTTACTATTCTAGCTCGTAAAACCTCTGATAATCCTCTTGGCATTTTTTCAATCACAACTTTCCGCGAAAAATATCTTGAATCGCTTATAATTGACTAAATCAGATTTCTGAATGAGCGTAAGCTAGGACTGAAAGCCTTTTTATATGAAAAAACAATTGAACGGGGTCATTGTTTTATGTTCTAATTTATTTTTAAATATTTTAATTTTGTTCTAATTTATTTTTAATTTTTAAATCATAATATAATCTACAGTAACAAAAAAGATTTCAGTTTTTCGAAGTGATCGCAAACTTTTTTTGATGTGTGTATATATAGTTATTACGTATTTAGTATGCGTTACTTCTACCAACAAATAATAGGCACCGTTACTAGCAGCGCGGAAGCTTTGACGTGTTTGTATACGCACAAAGCACAAATTAATAATGATAATAAGGTCAAATAATTGTAAGGAGATTTCTGAAGTGATTATCTTTTATGGAATAGTATTGAACATAATGAATTCAATTATTAATTCCGCAAAACGGCAGAATTAAGTAAGAAAGTTTCATCGTCAACCTTTGTGTTGTACAGACGGCAGCCTATCAAGCTAAATGTTGACGGATCTTGTTCCGTTGCACTGGAGGCCGATTATCGAACCTAAAAGTATGTTTGTTTTGCTATTGACCGTACGTCTATTACTTAAATCAGTTGTAAGGCTTGGTAAAAAAAGTAAATAAAGTTGCAAACTCAATTATGAAAAGAAACTCATGACGAATAGGAAATCTAACAAAGTTTCATTGAAACAAAATATTACTTGAAAAGAAATTCAGTACGTCGCTATAAAATATACATCATTACATTTTTCATTCGTTTAATCAACAGCATGTTGCTACGGTACCATTACCTACCGTACTGTGCGGATTTATGTATTTACAAATCTTTTTTGTAAGCCGTAACACGTGTCGAAACCAGGTTTAAAGATTAGTTCGAAAAGTGATTTCAGAAAGGAAATCGTTTATTTGCTCAGTTTTGAAAAGTACTTTGAGAATATTAGTTTCACATTTCTAATAGTTGTAAATGAATGTTTTAGAACTTGCTACTTGGTACATTCTTAAAACTGAATGGGATTATTACATTATATTTACTACTTTATTGTAAAGGTCTCTTCTTTTCTGATATTCATTTAGTTATCAGTGTAATATTATAGCACATAAGAAGGCACTTGAATGAACCTATTCACACCATAAACAATAAACGACGTGAACCTTAAAGGAATTGACGTGGCGTAAACCAGTAGTACCTATTTTCAGACTGCTCGGATAGGGATGAAGAAGTATTTAAAACTGAAATGTTAGTGACAATCCTGACAATAACCTTTTCTGTTTCAGTCACATTCCGGTACATCGTGTACCGAAAATTAAAACAAAGATCAGCGCCCAGGCAAACTGGCTATATTAACAGTGTACATTTTTTATGATGTCAAATTTAATGTAATTTGTGTCACATACGTGAGACGCAAAATTAAATATAATGTAATAATAATAAAGTTTTATTCAAGTAAGCCTGACTCACAAGCACTTTTGATTAGTCAAAATCACACAAGAGATTACAAAAAAAGACGTGTCAAGTAAATAAACCAATTCATACAAAATGTTTAGTAGGTAACAAAACGATATAATATTAACTCCACGAATTGTTATCGTTCATGTACTCATAAACAGTATATTAAGTATTTTCTTTTCGCAGAAGTTTATTTTTAACATAATGCCCTATACTAAATTTCGGTCAGTATTTTATTCATATATGTAATTCCTTGTCCCATAGATGAATTACAACATTTTTGCAATCGTTATTGAGGCATGATTAATTTATCTTTATTTCTAGTATTACGTTTGTGTATACCGCTGTGTTTCTTAAATACAGTAGTAATATAATGATGTGTATATAAAATACAATTAAAAAAAACTGTGATGCTACAATATTAATCTCTTTGAACATTTTTTTAAGGGAGACCTTGTTTCCCAGTTTATATATGGACCTTACAGCTCTCTATTGTAAAACAAAAATAGTCAGTAGAATGCCGTATGACAATGCGCTGTGGAAGTAGCTGTAATGAACTGGCCGAGCAGTTTCTTGATCTGTAAGTTCTCTAATTTTTCTTACTAAAAAAAAAACTGTTGAACTGAGTTTCGCTGCTAGGGCTGTAATATGCGGATTCCATTGTAATTTAGAATGGTGATACCTAGGAACATTGTAGATTCAACCAATTCCAGCATATCATTGTTCAACATTATTTTACTGTTTTAAAAACTGTTGTTAAAATTTATATTACACAATAACTAACGGTTTCAGAATCAGAACATGGCTATGTTCTGATTCAGAGACTATTTTATTTTATATAAATAATTTCATACAAAATGGTTTTTTACAACTATCGCATGACACAACGCAGAACATGCAAATAACTCGATAAAATAGATCTTTTTGACTCACCTCTAGTGATTCCTCTTCAGGCGGCGCTTCGTCAATATTGTTTATCATTAGCATAAATTTCTTTTTCATCATTTTGATAAGGTGCTTGCCTTCAGCTTCTTCGACGACAGTGTTGGTACAAACAAAACTGCGAACGGCGCGGGAGTCTTCATCCACGTCAAGTTGTCCACATGTTCGCATGTAGATAAATTGTCCGCTCTTTGTCATTAGACGGTAGCAAGATTCGCCGACTAACCGATGTTGATCATACACTGAAGCAAAAAGGGCATATTAATGTTTTAATACAAAAGGTTTAATAGAAAAATATGTAATAAGTTACGCATATTTTTTTCTGGGATAGTCAGCCCTAGAGAAAAATCGACATACTCAATCCATTATGTTATGGCTACTTGTAGGTGTATACATAATTTGTTATGTGGGAGGAATCTTGCACGAGTGATAACATATTTAAGGAATCGATACCTTAACTAAATAATTTTTATTTTACATAAATTATTTTATTTCAAATTGTTTTATGGCACCTAAATATTAACAAATTAAGTTTAGCAGACAATTCTTATAAGTGTTTAGATTATCGAATAATTTTTGATTATCTGTATTTATTTTGTCTTCTCACTTAGTAACTAGGTTATCATAAACGTAACATATTACCTAATAGTCATTGTTATTACAAATACATCCAGTATGTCAAAAACAGTACTTGAAGAGAACTTGGTCTACATTGGACATTAAAAATACACTTTATTTTATAAATAAATAAGTTACATGATGTCTCAAAATTATCCAAAAAATAGTGACAACAACGATAGATTGACGTGGTTGTAATGACAAAGGCATCACTCCGGTCAGTGCATGTGTCCCTTCTGCATGAATCACTTATGAGTATTAAATCGTGGTACAACACTTGGCAAGCTTTACATTTCTTGTGCTGTAAATATTTACGCTCATGCGGGAAGTACAATGACGCGATTACAATTCAATCTGTTCTTTGACCCAAAGAAGCGCCGCACAAATTAAATAGTCAGTCTTCATTTCGGGTGTCCAGACTAATTAAAGAAAGTTACAGCTTATAAAATGCCTCAAAACTCAATACACCCACCACAACTTACTACTATAGCGTTTTATAATAAAACTGTATCAATGTTTGTACAGCTCGCGAAGTATTTGGCATATACATGAATTACTTATAATTGAATTATTTATAATTAATGTGAGCTTTACTGCGTTCAGGGATTATATAGAGGTAATATATAATGTATTTTTAATTATAATACGGGTACCTGCAATTTAAAAAAAGCCATACAATCGGCTTGGGGTCCAGCATTTCTTCTGATAAAAAAGCAGACAACGACTCACATGTTTTATTTCTAATTTTGTTTTAATTAAAATTAGTTTAATTTAGTAAAGGCACATATCGTACAAATGAAATATTTTCCTTTATTTCACGTGGCTTGCATTAAAATTAGTCAATAATTTTACCATCATAAGTCATCCTTATCTTTACTGGGTACTCCCATTTTCTCGGAAGGGGTTGGCGCGGCCGTTGAGGATAAAAGGTTGGCATTGGTTAGGGCCATAGATATAGGAAAAAAGGGGAGATTTGAATGAATGGGCGTGTCTCGTATCGCCGCGATATTGTCAAAATGCACATATCGAGGTGACACGCATTTAAACATCACTACAGTGATATGGCGATCGTTGGACATACAAGATCTCTCGTAAAACGTGAAAATGCCAAGTTGTAGCGACATACCTTGTAAAAATTGGAGTGAAAACAAACATTTTCAAACCAGTGGGATAACATACCACCGGCTATTGGCATTTTTAGTTACTATTTCTATTATTATTTAATATTTACTTTTTGTTTCTATAGAAATTTCTAGACTCAAATATAGTGAAGTTCATTTACGGTGATTGATGTTTATCGACAATTAATTTTTACTGAAATGTTTGAATTTCTTACTATGATTTTTGTAATTAAAGTCCCTAAAATGTCGAAGCGAAAAGCATTCACGTTAAATTGATTTCTTTTATTTTATTATTATTATTATTATTATTAATAATAAACATTTTATGTCGAATAACTTTAAGACGACTCATATTTCGGACAGCCGTTTCAATTTCATGTCAATTTGTATGTTGCTGTTGCTTGAAGAAAAATGTATATCTGTTATTGTTTTAGAGGATTTAGATATTTAAATTCCATTAAACTCGTAGATTAAACGTATTTTTAATTTTTAAGTTTTTCCAATGAGTTCAAAATAAAAGAAGGTTATCCAACCTTGAAGCTGCACGAAAATCGAAAAATTGGTTTTCTTATAGCAAATGCATTTAAAAAACGAATAAAATAAACTCGAGTTTATTTTACATGTGCATGCACAATAAATTAGAAACAATTGTAGAATTTTCATAAATCCTTCACAAAAAAAAATTAATTTAATTTATTAAATTCGTTGATGGTTCAAGTTTACGTTTGACAATGACAACTTCACCAATCCGTGGTAACGTATAATGGTGAACTGACACTGGCGACGATCACCACAATTTTTATATTATTCTTATAAAACTTACACTGCTCTAAGGCTAGTGGCCGCCATTAAGGAAGTAATAATAATTTATATTAATATATTAATTTAATACTTGGGGCACACTATAAGTTTCTGGAATGAATATGAAAAAAACATTATAAATGGTCAGAAATTAATTTATATTTTCTCAAAATATTATCCGTTAGCGTTAATGCACTTTTTAGTACGAATGAACCAATTTTGAAAGCTTCGTGACAATCTCTGAAACATATTTTTCATACTCTTCGACAACCTCTTTAGGTGATGAAAATCGTTGACCGCGTAACTGGTTCTTAATTTTTGGAAACAAATGAAACTCACAAGGTGCCAGGTCGGGACTGTAAGCGGGATGGCTCATAAGGTCAACGTTGTTCACTTTCAAAAATTCATTTGTCTGTCTGGCCGTGTGAGATTATCGTGGTGACAGATGACACGGCATTTACGATTATTTTTTCCGAGTTTGTCAATAACTTCCGACAAACAAATGGTCGTGTAGCAATCACTATTCACGGTACAACGATTCTCCATTGCAACAGTCGCCACGTGTCCAGTTTTATTAATAATCTCAGTACAGAGTACTAAAAAAACCGGCCTCAAAATTATGTGGAATTACATCTATTTGCCAAGTTTTTTTTTTAAATCGGTTACTGGAAAGTGCGCAAACCCGGATTCACACCCTAGATCGCCACTATACGGAACTTGACACAGGAGATAATAAAAATCGGTTCTCACTACTCAAAGGATATTGAGAGAAAAACGCATTGAATAAGAGAATAGCAAACTCAACTATTAAAATAATTGCTCCTTATAATAAAATTTAGGCGCTATTTATAAAAATGAATCTTCATGCGTGAAAAGCCACTCGTAGAGGTGGATGATTTTCTTCAAAATTAAATGGAACCACTATGTCGGTACCCTCTTTCCAACAAAAAAAGAATCATGAAAATCGGTGCACAAATACCGGAGTCATCGCGTAACATACATACAAAAAAAGTACAGTCGAGTTGAGAACCTCCTCCTTTTTTCGAAGTCGGTTAAAAAGGAGCAATCATCCGCTTAGAGGCACTTTGCACGCGCGCCACTCTTCAGGCTGGTTTCGGCTCGTCTCGAAACACCCATACACTCGATTGCTGCTTTCTTTTGGGGTCGTAACTATAAATCCATATTTCGTCACCTGTCACTATGTCCCACACCAAATTTGACGCCCCTTCGTTGAATCTGGTAAGCATGGCATTGCACCAAGTGACGCGATCCGTGTTTGTGCCTCAGTCACATTGTGTGGGATCCACCGAGAGCACAGCTTTTTCACGCCTAAATGTTTGTGTAGTATTGATTGTTTGATTTTGATTGATTGAGATTTGACTCATGCCTATACCTAAGGATGCCCGAATCTCATGGTATATCACATGCCTGTCTGTTTTGATCATACGGCGCACAGCATCGATGTTTTTCTTGTTCACACAAGTGGACAGGCGACCATCACGAAATTCGTCACTGAGATTCACACGACCGCGTTTGAATTCTGCAAACCAGATATAAATAATCGTCTTGCATGGTGCTTCATCGCCAAAAGCAGTTTGGAGCCGAGCGAAGCTCCGCTGAGCTGTTAAATTACATTTAAAGTGGAAGAAAATCATACTACGAAAATTTTCACGACTTAAATCCATGGTGATGTAGACAATAAATTTCTGAAATGCGTGTAAGAATGTTAATTTCTTTAAACTTATCTCTCAAAGATACTCTGGGGCCCAGATTGTAAATTGCCACACGTTACTGCAGGACAAGGATTCTATTGATATCGGCGGCATTACCCCAAAGCAAAATGCCATCTATTCACAATATTACCGTTAGCTTACTTTATAAAAGCTCTACGTTATAAAATGTATGTTTAGTGTTTCAAGTAGCATGTAGTTTTAAGAACTGCAAGAATTTTCGTATAGTTTTCGTATACAACAGATTAGCTGGAGCCCGCGACTTCTTCTGCGCATAATAATTACTTCGGGTAACCCACTCAGTTCTCAGCTCAGTGGTTTAGGCATAAAAACGTAACAGACAGAATTACTTTCGCATTTATAATATTAGTTTCGATGTGAACATATTAAAATCTTGCTGAACTATTATAAAAGTGACGTACCTAATGCAAAGTCGTAAAGCAATAAATTGTAATTAGCGTTTATCAGCTCTTTTTATACCTACATTTGTTGTCGAGCGAAGCAATGGAAAACTAGAAAATTATCTAAAGTAATACAATTACTAGAACTGCGATAGGAGAACCGATGCACATGGTAAACAAGTGGTAAGTGTCACGATGTACAGCTATATCAGCCTTTAGCGACTTGTATTTCTATTTGTGTCATCTTTATACCTACATGGTATTCGCTGGCGGGCTCTTTCTCTCTCGCCCACCCGTTTCCCCTAAAAGAGCAAAATACTTTGACTCAAACTCACTCTGAAATATATTTTTATTTTGTAGGTAAATAAATTACACTTGAAACCGTCGCGTTCATTAAACTCTACTGCTCATTCGTAAAGCAGATTTCCCTGAGAAGAATTATTATATTACAGGAATACATTAAAAAAATACTTTTACATACATTTACAACAGACTTTTAATATGAAATATTAAAATAGAATAACTGTATCAAATTGAATTTAATGTAAAAGTGATCTATAGAACTTCCAGACCTTTATTAAGGTGCAAAAAATACATAAAAGCATCTCAAATAATGAAACATTTCTTTTAAGAGACACGCTTTGAAGTAAAGACAGATACACTGAAAAAAAAGTGCCCTTTTCATCTTTTACCACAGCAAATTCTATCATTTCTGTCCAGTTCATACTATTTCCTTTGTCATCATTGTTAATTAAATTATTTTTTTATTTGGGTAAATAATATTTAATATTGGTTGAAAAAAACAGAAAGTTAAATAACCATAGAGCACCAGAGCTCTAATGGTTGTTTAACTTTCTGTTATTTTTTTGTCAAAATTTGAAAATGAAAAATAACCGACTATCATTTTTTTACATCCAGTGGTTCGAGGTTGACTACGTATTCTAGTAAATTGCAAAAAAGGGTTTTATACATTAAAGTTTATTTATTTTAATTAATGTTACATGTTATGGTTTCTATTTTATCAGAAAACTGATTTTTATTTAATTTAATTTGTATTGAATTATTCAATATTTTTTTGTGAAATTTCTCCACTAGTTTGTTCTAATTATTAATACAAAGATACGGGCCGGTTTCGAATCGACGTCTTCTAGCAAACCGTGTCAGATGCTATGCCTACTAAGCCACGAAACGAACCTCACGAATTTTTCCATGTGCTTGTTTATCGGATCTTTGTATTTGGTTTTCAAAGATTTTTTAGCCGTAGCGCCATCTATGAGAAATCTATGAAAGTATTTCGTCACCCAGTTAGGTAACTTGAGAGCTACCAGACTAATTAAAAACAATATTTTCAATAAAACGTCCTAGATATATTAAAAGACGGTGATTAACTGCACTTTACGTCTAATTATAATTGTTTTAATATAAATGTTACTGTTTTATATTTTCACTTTTTTGTTCTACTTAAATTTGCCGGTGTAAATATTTCTTTCATGCCAGTATATAACAGACATAGTTATTTGAGATCATGTTGGAAACCGATGCGTAACGTCTTTTATAAAATACCACACACATGGTTACTTAAGAGCGATTACACATGGCGACTTTTAGCAGCGATGCAGTAGCGATGCAATGGCTAATCGTCTACCTTTAGACACGCACGATTTTAAGCAGCGATGCAAGCGCGACTGTATCGATACAAACGCGCGATTGCATCGCTACACTTGGGATTCAAAGGTGATTGCATAGAAGCAAACGCGCGACTGCATCGATACAAACGCGCGCCTATAAATCGCAAATGTAGCGATGCACTCGCGCTTTTCACGAACACGCGTGTGCATCGCTGCTAAGAGTCGTCGTATGTAACCAGTCTATGGGTCAGTCAGTAATTATCTGTTTATTTATTTATTTATTTATTCATGGAAAACCAACAGCTTTACAACAAATTAAAAAACATCAACAAATACATTACAGCCAATTAAAGGTTTTTGTAGTACAAAAGTGTTGTGGTGCAACGTGTTTTCAACGCATTTTCTTGAGTTTCCTTTTTGCATCCACTTGTTCCACTAATCCTTTGGAAAGCCAAACTACTAAGTTTGGTTTTCCAAATCTTTGTTTTTTCTCTTGACGTTGGTCATGGAGAAGTTATGTTCAACCTAGACTTGGTCTCTTTAGATTTCTTGAAGTACGTCAAATAAAGATTGCATTGGTCTTTTTTGGGATTATAAAATGACAAGTTCTTCGATTCAAATCCAATCTTGGTTTTCACAATGAAAGAAAACTATTATCTCACAAAATTTTTGGTTTCTTATACAACATGTTGGGCGTACAACTTTTAGAGGAGAATGTTTACTTTTGCACTTTTAACTGTTTTGTCGACCTCGTTGGCCCAGTGGTTATTTGATGAAGGTTCGATTCCAAATTCGTAGGATCATAGGCAATGAACTTGTTTAAATCCCCTTAATCAATTAAAGGGTCCAGTGAAAGCCAGCGTTGTGGCTCCGCCGCAGTATTTGCTGAGTTTGGCCCCTTTCAGTGCAATACACTTTAAGCATTCAATCATAATATACTTGAAACATGTGTTTGTGCTGAATAAATTTATTTCTTTCTTTCATATCGACTCTGGTGCCTGTACTTTGGGTTGTACCCCAGATTGACATGCGTTATTGCATTGGTATTCATAGTAGACAGTTTATTGTTGCGGTTGTCTTGTACATGGTTATTATTATATATTAACTAAATCACGATAATAATGTCATAAGCGACAGTTATTGAAGAGAGGAAAGATATATTGCTTATACCAAAGTTTAAATTTCAGTTAGGAATTCCTTTCGTATTCCTCAATAACTTAATTGCTGCTAGCTACATTGTACGGTTGCAGCGGTACTGAGTAATTAGTCTACTACGCGCTGTTGAGCTTAACGTGAATTCAGACGTAGAGTGTATTAACATTATAATATCTCCAAAATAAAGGACATAAATTAATATACATATAACTGAGATAAATTCGAAATGAATATCTTTTTAATGAACCAAAGAGGAATAATGACTATCCGCAAGCACAAAATAGTTATTTGAAAGTAGATTTGAGAAGAAGAAGAATGCAAGACTGCAAAGTTCTTGTTTGACACTTCGAGAGCTTGTACTTGAACTTGAGCAAGCGTAGGACTCTAAGGGTCGTATTCTAGAACTCTACTCAACGCTTAAGTCAGGACTTGAGTATGATTCAAAGCACTAGAAATCATACTCAAGTCCCTGCCATTAGGATCCAGTGCTTGTGTTGCCAGTGCAATCCTGACTTGAGCATTGAATAGAGTTCTAGAATACGACCCTAAGATTAATAGAATCGTGAGGTTAGTCAGGGTTTAGAGACACGAGACGAAAAATAACTTTGCTGCGGAGCGAATCACAACTTTATCTCACTATTGCGAAGAAAATGGTAGATGAAAGAAAAACAGTTGAACTTTTTTAATTTGTGATTACAAATCAGTTTTAATAAACAAAATTAATTATCGTTGTTCATTTAATGTCAACAATAGTAAGAACAAAATATATCAACGGAATTACATTACATAAATAATGTACGATAAATCGCGTAGTTGTACGTGTCATTTTGCTTTTTTTTTATCGAAAGATAAAGTCTGTTGCACCACAGTCCATCGTCAAGTTCGAATCCCAAAAACCTTTTCCACGCTAGCGTGGATTCTAATGAGAAAGAAAGCCCTTCCGAGCTAGTGAGGTGAAAAATTAATATTATTAATGCAACATTTTCATTACGTATCTGTCAACGAATTCAGATTAAATATGGACATTATTTGTAATGTGGTAAGGTACATATTATATGGTAAGGTATTTCGGTATAAGTGTATGCGTCATAGTTCTATTTGTTGTATACTTTAAGATTGACAGGCACTTACACATATACCATAAACACCACAGCAAAAACCTATCGCTGCAAACTCCGGTGATAGGTCTAGGTCTGGGTCGTATAAGTATTATACTTATCTTCTTTATAAACAGAGCAATTATCGGGTACTACTTATTTTAAATTAGTTACTTACTTTCTCGAAGCGCAATGATGACCCAGCGGACATCGTCGCGGTGCATGAAGTTCATAGCATTGACTCCATACACCTCGTGGGTCATGTATCCAGTTGCAAGGGCAATGCGTTGCTCACAATCCATTATTTGGCCGTCAATCGAGTGACGGGTGCGGTACTCCATCCTGAAGGACTCGAGTGAGCTTTCTGTCATAAAAGTCTCGGCGATAGGACGTACAACGCCAATGAATACCTATGACAAGTCAATAACGATGTTACAATGTACAGAAACAAAACAAGCGTTTGACGTTAATGTTTGTGATTAACTATATTCTACTTTACAAGGCTAAGCAACATTGTTAAGACTATGAACTTATTGTGGGTTCACTATCAGGATGTCGAAAAAATAAGAGAATGCGAAAGAAACTCGATTGTAATACAGAATCAATAAAACGATTTAATTAAGTTGCCGTTAAGCTATCATAAGTCGGGTACTAATTAGCGAGCTGTAACTGTAACGTGTCAGATACAGTAACAAGGTTCTAGTTTTTTGCTATATCTATGGTTCTAGTGTGTACATAGAATGCTTTATATAGAATAGAATATAATACGTTTATTTACCAGAATATAGTAATTAAATAAGGTTTTAAGTAAAATTAGGTACATTGTATTCAACTTGCAAGCAAATGTCCTAATATTGATGGGATTTAATGTTTAGTTTCTATAATTTTGAAATTAATGTAATGAATTTGCAAATTCCAAGTAGTGTTTATTACTATAGAAGTCATAAAAAAAAGAAAAAGGGTCTTTACACACAGCATATCGTCTGCCATTTTGTCAATTGTAATTTAAAAGTATGTCCTTGTAACAATTTCATTTCAGCTGGTAATTCATTGAAAATAGTTATTCTTATAAAGTACTATTGAAACAGTCTTCTATAAGACGGCTCGCTGCAAACTTCACGAGTTCTGCTCGTGAACCACGTACACAGTACACACTATGGGCTCATTCAGAGTGACGGCGCGAGCGCGGCGGCGCGGCGGGTGCGGGCGCGCGGGTCTTGACGTCTTTCCTTTCACAGTGCCGAAACGGCTACGATTGGGTAGATCCCCACATCGAAATCGCAAACAGACGCTAGACGCTAGACCAAACACTGTGAAAAGTACGGGCGGATCGAGTCAATAGATCTACCCGCACGGCATGCGAGCACTAGCGCTCGCGCCCGCCTCGAGTCAGGCGCCGACGTACATTTGAATTAAACCCACCCTCGCCCTCACCCGCGCCCGCACACGCACCCGCACCCGCGCCCGCACCCGCACCCGCACCCGCAGCCGCACCCATACCCGCACCCGCACCCGCACCCGCCCCGCACCCGAACCTGAACACGCGCCCGCCTCCACTCTGAATAAGGCCTTTGATTTTTGGTAACGACCGGATCATTTCGGCGTAACGTAACATTCGCGACGAGCATTACATTACGGCTTAGACGGGTATATTTGTACGTTTCGAACTCAGTGCTCGGTCGTGCTCCGCATTAGCAATGGAAATGTCGAATGACGAAGTCGTGCTTTAAAGGGGCCCCATAAAATTGTATACTTTATATTTATCAATAACACACAAATAACAGAGTTTTGTACCTACCCAAGCAGCACACCCATGTCTAAATAAATACTATAAGATATCTAATAGAATTTAATTCGATTGAATATTTTAAGAGTTTAAATTCCCTCAAGATATCTCGAAGAAGGTTTCTAGATAATTTAAAGTAATAGTGGGCACAACTTTATTAGTAGATCACAAGAGTGCTTTGAGTATCTATAAGTAGTGTTAAGAGTGATTCTTATCTATTTTCTCAAGTAACCCTTCTAAAATGCTACAAGACCGCTTGTAGAATGTAGAACAGAAGAGTTTTTATTCACTCTTCGAGACAGTTTCTATATAATTTATAGTCTATGATAGTTTTCTTAGTAATGCTATTTTAAAACCAAAATACCAAAGCTTTACAAACATAAGACGCAATTCCCTTAATACCATTGACTTACAAATAATAGCTACTAATAATAATAGCTACTAATAATGGACGACGGGTCTAATACAAAAACCACGAAAAAAATATCCCAAGTCAACCTATTCGAAATTTAAATTGTAATGTCATCGCAGCATCGCGCTGTCAGTAGAACAAATGAAGACTAAAGCGGAGTGTCGCGCTCTGTATACGATTTTAGCGCCTTACAAGTGCGGACACTTTTTAGCGCGGACCCGACGTCCATATAATTGTAAGTCAATGCTTAATACTAATAGATTTCAAGTTCCATGGCTTACAAAATATAAACTATCAAAATTGCAACATGGCGAAATTAGATATATTATTTTCCGACTTTTTCGCGCAATATTTAATCGGTTGGAAAGCCCAAATTGACGTGCGACTTTAAATACATTGTGAAAAGTTATGTAAAACCTGCCATAAAAGCAATGCGCTCTCTAAATTTTAAATATTTATGTATAAAATATAAACGTAATAAAAATGCATTTATCGATTTTCGGTTTTAAATATTTATAGAAAGCTTAAATATACAAAAAGAACTCACAAAACAAACCATTTCCAAGAAATTCTAGGCTTCTTCAAGCTAATTTCAATTTAGATTTACTTTTTAAAAAGAAAAGAAACTTTTCTCGGCTACTTCATAGTCATTCTTAAAAATGAAAATGGCGATAAGAATTTAAAGCTTTCTTCAAACACTGTTGGGAGCATTTTGTCTATAGCTTTATCTATAGAAAAACTTTAGAATACGTAAAGATCATTTTTAATTGCTTTAGTGTAGTTGATCTTGTAGAAAAATATTCACTCCTATGAAGCTTTTGTGAATGTTTACAAAACGCGATGTTTCTAAGCGGTTTTTTCTTTTGACAGTATTACAAAACCTTTTTAAAAGTTTATAGAATAGTGGGCGTATCATGCAATAAAAAACTTTTCAAAACACAAGGTCAAAAAACAATTGAAAAAATCGAATTGTCGCAAAAAAACGTTACTTGTGTTATATATGACTAGAAAGGTGGATAAATTCCCTATAACATAAATATAAGGAATATTTTAATGACATACCTAACTTATGTTGGAAGAAATAAAATTTTCATTACAAACTTGAGGTAATTTCTTCACGCCAACCACATTTCACACAATGATTTTACTGTATTCTATTGATAGATGGCACAATACATGTGTATGTACACAACATTGAAGTACAGTAGTTTACGCGCTCATTTCAATTGTTTTTATCATTTCAGAACACGGAATTACTCCACAATGTTTATTTATTTGTCAACAAACGAAGTCATGACCGGCTCGCGCGCGAATTACAAATATTGTATCCAGAGTTGTCAATTTGTGGGAAATTCCCCAAATTGTGGGAAATTTCAACAAGATTGGAGATTTTGTGGGGATTGGCGCTATGTGAGGAAAATGTGGGGATTCTACCATTTTATCATTTTGTTTAATCTATCAATTGTTGATGCATAGCTAGTTTGATCGTTACTGTTAGAAACACTGTGATGGACTGTATCGACGTGTTTTTCAACATCGCACATTCCTTGTATTATTAACAAGCAGCTTAAATAGAATTATTATTAGAGCACTTGGTTCTGAATTGTAAAATTACCAGTCGGTGCGTGTTGAGTTCGCGATTCTTTCTCCCGCTTAGGTCGGCCCCGGTATGAAGCAAAACGAAATCAGCTATTGATAAACAAAGCCGAGCAGTTGGTACTTCCACACCACAACTTACCACTCGTCAACTTTGAATATTAAATATAAGTAGGTCGAAACTCATTGATTATTTCTAACATTAACATAGTGTCACCAAATGCACAACAAATAATCAGTTTACTTAATTTTGTAAGCCAAAGAAAAACGATTTTTTTTTCAAAGACTGTTTACAGATTAATGTTGAATCTAATTAAAATAAATAAACGATTTAAGGTCATCTAATTTTATAATTAGTTTTACACTTTACATTCTGTTTACATTCACAGCAAACGTAATAGATTATTACATTTTAAGTTTCTTAATTCTTTATTATATTTTTAAGATATTTCTAATAAATCATGAAAACAGGAGATGTGAGGAATGTGTGGGGAAAATGAATTTTGTTCTTCCCAAATTTGGGGATTTTTACCGTGATTTTTGGGGATTTTGAACAATTGGCATTGGCAACGCTAATTGTATCGAATAATGTAACTTAATATCCAAGGTTCACCATCTCCACCAGATCTTTTAATATTCTTTACTTTATCCATTTTGCATGAACTCTTACAACGTCCAGTAGAGTAAAAATCCCTAATTGTAGTATTTTTAAAAATAAAATCTACGAAGAGGCGCTATAACGTGTTTGTCATAAGTACAAACACTACAGAATGTCTATAAATTAAATATATCTAGAATAAACTTAAGAACACTAGTTTTTAGAGTATTAATAGACTTTACTGGTTGTGTATAGAACAATTTTATTCAAAAATAATCAGTTGTTCTACAGATGAATTTAAAATAAGGACTATAAGAGTAAATATTAAGAGATTACACTTAATTAACTTGTTTGGTATTAAGAAGGTTTTAAAATTTTGACTTGAGTGAAATAAGTCTATAAGAACAATTTCTTTTTTATAAAACCATTTATAGAGAACTAGTATCTAAGTGTATACCATTAAGACTATTTATAGATGTAACAGTTTAGGGGGCGTATAAAGTGTGCTCCTTGGCTAACCCGCTTGATCGTTTAAAAAAAAAACAGGCGATGACACTCGGATATTTATGTAACCCCGACAATGCGCTCGCTCAATGATTGTTTGAGCTGTACTGACTTAAATTAAGGCGTAACGTAGCATTCAAATGATATCAACAAAGGCCGCGAGCGCCGCGTGTTTCGGCTCGCTGTACTGACCATGCGAATGCTCGTGTTACGTTACGGCGACATGATCTGATGTTAGACGCCGCCTTTAAAGAACTGTTCCATTATTTTGAAAGTTTTGATGCAGGATAGATTCTAATGTCATCTTGTGGTTCATAATTGCGTTTAGTATCGATGCGTTGCTAATGCTCGCGGTAGAAAATGTAATTTAACAATTAGAGCTCAGGGTTGAAAATATATACGCCGTTCAACTTTCACCGCAGTCTGTGAAGTTCACGAATGTTCCTTGTTTAAAAAATATCTATCTATGTTCCATATTTTAGGGGCTTCTGAAATACGCAGTGCAAGTCGTATTGTATTGTATTGTATTGAAGTCTGGTTAAACACACTATCCATTCCGTTATGAAAGCAGGGTAAGTAAACAAATAAATAATATTTAAGTGAAAAGTTACACTGGTTTGTACAGTAGAGGAGGAATATGAATAAAATTGGGTGAGACTTACGACATCGTTGCCACTGGCGCAAGGATTATCGCCACGGGCGCGGGCACGGCGGACAGGACAGCAGCGAGTGAGACCGCGACACGCCCGATCCGACTTCCTCAGGCTACCCTCCACGACACATCGCACATACTGTATCGGTTCCGAACGTTGCGTATGTTTTCTGAATCTGTTTTCAAAACAAAAGTAAGAACATTTTTGAAACGGTTACAGTACGTTAAAACAAAACAAAAAACAATTATTTATCTGTTTGTATCATTGACTTACAAATAAATGGACGACGGGTCTAATACAAAAACCACGAAAAAAATGTCCCAAGTCAACCTATTTAAACGTAGTGACATGTCAAGGAATATGAAAAAGCTAAAACGTTGAATTAAAATTGTAATGTCATCGCAGTACTGTCTAATTTTGCTTGCTCCGCTGTCAGTCGAACAAACGAAGGCTAGACCGTGAATGACGCTCTATATACGATTTTAACGCCCTATAAGTTCGGACACTTTTTAGTGCGGACCCGACGTCCATATAATTTTAAGTCAATGGTTTGGATAGTATGTTTAAATGTTTTCTTCATTGCTTTTAAAATGGGGCTGATATGTTCAATATACATGAAAGCCTCTAAATAAATAAAGAGTAAAAAAATGTTACGTAACAAACGGATAGAAAAATTCGTAAGGTCTGTTGACTCGATCTGTAGCTCAGTTGGTGGAGCGGTAGTCCTGGTATGACACAGATGTAGGTTCGAGTACTGTCAGATGAAAGGAATTTTCTTTGTCTTCGATCTTTGTATTAATAATTATAACAAACTAGTGGAGTAATTTCACAAAAGAAATCATGGTAGTAAATCAAATCAAAATCAAATCAAATCAATTTATTTGCAATAAACATGGTGGTCAAGATAACAATAGAAAAATTATGTACTACATGTTTAGCCAGACAGATTGTGGCATGCAAATATGGGTCGTCACGCAACTTTTAAATCTAAACATTAATATTTAAAATCATTATACCTACATACACATTATACACTATATCAAAAAATCTCTAACAGTGTAATATACCTTATCCTTCAAAAATTCATGCAATTTAGTTTTAAAAGTCCTAATTGGTAAATTTATTAAATCTCTAGGTAGTTTATTATAAATTTTTATACACATGCCTATGCAGTTACAGCTATATTTTTCCAGACGAGGTAAATCAAAGTAGACTAATTTGTTAGGATTTCTAAAACTTCTAGGATTAATGTCAATATTTTTGGTGAATAAGTGCCAATTTTTTTTAACAAATATACTGGCTTCATAAATATATAAGGCAGGCAGAGGCAATAAATTAAGTTCCTTGAATAATAGTTTACAAGATTCCAGAGGTGATTTTCCAGTCATGGCCCGTAAACATTTTTTTTGTGCTAATAGTACTCTATTCACGTTTGTGCCATTTCCCCAGACCAGAAGACCATAACGCAGGACCGATCCCACGAAAGCGTGATAAGCAGTAAGCATAGTCGGCATATCAGTATGATTACGAAGACATTTTAGGGCAAATGCAAATGTGTGCATTCTTTTACAGACGTTTTCAATATGAGAGTCCCAGTTTAAATGTTTATTAATAATTATACCCAAGAATTTGGTTTCGCTAAGCTCGTCAATATTGGATTCTTTATATTGAATTTGTAATGTCAATGATTTATTATTAAAATTTATGTAATTAGTTTTAGTCAAATTAATTTGCAAATTGTTAATGTCAAGCCACTGAATAATTAAATTAATAGTATTATTTATGTCTGTTTCGTGAATTTTAATTGTGTCATTATTAATTTGTCCCTTGGTAGTTACTACTAAAGAAATATCGTCGGCAAACATTATACATTTATGTTTGGTCGTATGAACTATATCATTAATATAAATGAGAAATAATAGGGGGCCTAATACACTGCCTTGTGGGACTCCGCATCTGTTAAATTGATAATTAGATGTGAAGGAGACCATCTCTCTTTTTTCACTTACTTTAGAAAGCATGACACATTGTTTTCTATTCGTTAAATATGTTCGAAACCAATCCAGAGGGATACCCCTTACACCTGCAGCCTCCAATCTTTGTAAAAGAACATCATGTGAAACAAAATCAAATGCCTTACTCAAATCTAGGAATAGCACTGTGGTTAATTTTTGGTTATTGATATTACCCAGGACCTCTTTCATTAAATTGAATGTAGCAAGAGTGGTAGATTTACCTTCTTGAAATCCGAATTGCTCCGGGCATATTATTTCAAATCTTTCACAGTATTCACTCAACCGTTTAAACATACATTTCTCAAAAATTTTTGAAAAAATTGATATAAGAGCTATAGGACGGTAGTTACTAACCTCACATTTATCACCTTTTTTGAACAGGGGCTTAATAATGGAAGATTTTAGTATATCTGGAAAAATTCCAGCCATAAATGATAAATTTATTAGATGTGTAAGAATAAAAACTGAGTTGTTAATGGAAGCTTTTATTACCTCAGTAGAAATTCCATCAAATCCTTCTGATTTTGTATTATTTAGAGACATCACTTCCTTCCAGACCTCAATAGGTGTCATAGGTTTTAAGAACATTGACTGGGACTGGTTATTTAGTTTGTTTTGTTTATTAATATTGTTATTGATGTTTTGATTTGATGATTTGATAAAATATGTATTGAATACAGTGGCTATCTCATTTGGATTTTTGATTAATTTATTAGAATAGTTTATGCAATCGATTTCGTGTTTATCTAAAGTATTACATCCAACTTCATTGTTGATTATTGTCCAAGTTGCTTTACTTTTATTTTTACTGGTATTAATTAAACTTTTGTTGCAGTTTTTTTTTAAGTTTGTATGTACATGTTTTAAGAACCTTTGAGAATTTTATATATTTTAATTTGTTTGCAATAGTTTTATGTTTATAGTACTTTAGTCTAAGATGTCTTTTTGTTTTACAGCTAATTCTAAGGCCTCTACTGACCCATTTTTGTTTCTTATTAAGATTTATTTTAATTCTTATCTTGGGAAAACATAGATCATAGAAAAGACGAAAAAGGTCATGAAATTGATTAAAAGCTAAATTTATATCAGGTTCCTCAAGAATATCCTTAAAACTGAGATTCTCCAGACACTGGTGGAATTTCGAAATATTGTCAGTACTATAATCTTTTTTATAAATGAAATGTGCCCTGGGTTTATCTCCTTTCGATTTTACGGGGTATTTTAACAGTTGTGCAGTTTCATGGTCGGATAGATATAGAGGTAAGACTTTACATAACATAAAACATCATAATATTCATTACAATCAATGTTACAACTATATTAGTTACGGTATTGATTTTATATCTGGCGTTTAAGGACACGAAGTGGCGTCGATGCAGTGGATATATTGTGTAGGTTTTATTTCAGGCTTCATCCGGTCCAACGTCTGATATTCGACTTTTTTAATTTCACAATGCGACTTTGGATCGAGTAGGATCAAAGTCTTAATCAAAGCCCACTAGAACCCATTCAAAGCTATACATATGTAGGTAGAATAACTAAATAATTTACAACTGAATTCATTTTATAAGTTTCCTTTATTTATCGAGTTCTTAGGTTTTCGCGATTGTTACACATAGGAAATGAAACTATTTTTCCCGATTTAAATCGCGTATATTTGTTTTTTCAAACAAACCGATTCCTTCATCATTCGGGCCCTTTACATCTTCCATGGTCACGGTTGACTGAGGTGAGACTGTAGTCTTCAACCAGTCATGTCTAATATTAATATTATATTTCCTTTATTCCTTCACTATATTTAGTAGCAGTAGAGCTCCTTGTGAAAGAGTTCGTCCAGGGTAGTGCTGCCACCTTACCTATTTCTGCCGCCAAGCAGTAATGTTAGCATTACTGTGTTCCAGTTTTGAAGGGTAAGGGTGCTGATGAAATTGCAGGCACATGGGACTTGTCAACTTAAGTCTCAGGGTGACGGGCGCAGTGGCAGTGCCCCTCAGATCTTTGCAATTTATAGCTCTGAGTGGCACTGTAATTGTCATGGACAGACGTGTAGCTTACCATTAGATGCACGACTTGTTCGTCCCGCCACTTGATATTGTAAAAAAAATATTTATAACAATTGAAAACATTGAAATCAAACACAAATACAAATGGAAAATGAGGAAACATTTCCGAAGATTAATTTAATGGAAATACGTCAGAGTCCCAAGTCCGCTAATTTACTTCAAACCACAGGTCATCATGTTCCTATCTACCGACTCGCGAGATAAGGTCTTCCGGAGAGACTATAGGCTCGACGGCAAGACCAGGGTACAGCGGGCGTCCGGGCCAATCACTGCGCCAGTGATACGCCTTCACGGGTGTCTCTGGTGGACTCGGATTTGGGTGTGGACTCACTGGAGTTTGTGGTGAGCTGTAGAGACGGACATGTTTGTCTGCCCCGGTTCCATGTGGCTGGGCCGTCTCTATAGCGAGTCTTAGTAGCGGTTTAGTAGAGGGCCTGAAGCGAGGAGACGCGCGGGCCACGTGAGTTGCCTTTTAAATTGGAAGCTATGTGCGGACATTATCGCAGGACACTGCCACTGGCATCTCCGGCACTAGCTCGGAGAGCTAGTAGAGGATAAGCTAGATATCCTCCGGTCCTTCCAGCCGCTTAGTTTATTGGGGACTGGAGAGACATCGTTTTTCCGTCACCAATGAGGAGATTTGGTAGTGGAGTTTAGAGTCGACGGCTTAGAGGTGGCAACCGCTAGTTGTGCAATACGCAACGGGAAGTGAGCGTCCCTACAGCCGGTACTTTTCTGGAAAATAGGGAGGGGACTGTACGTGCACCCGGGGCAGCTCTCCCGAGGCACTAGCCTCTAGAAATCCGGATGAAGTCAAGTGACAGAGGTCTGTGGCAACCCTGTACACTAGCTGATCTGGGGTCAGAACCTGAACTTCTAAGGTTCCTGTGCGCGCACAGGTTATAGAGCCCTTCTCGTGTACCCTAAGGGTCGCTAGGGAGGGTCACTATAATCAAAATTAACGTAAAAGATATGGGGCTGGTCATCATGATTCCATTCCACATCATGACTCCACAGAGATCATTTTGCAATCCGCATGAATTAAAAAATCCGCATGCATCAGCATCCGCGTTCTTTGATGTTGATATTCATTGCGGATATTTGCATCGTAACATTAATTTACAAACCATCCAAAAACAGACTGCAAGCCAAAAAAGCATCTCGTCTGTCGTTCTTTGAGAAAATATCAGCATACCTATATAAGCTACACAGGTTGATTGATTTTTTAGTTTTATTTATTTATAATAAAAAAACAAAATAATTGAAAAGGCTGAAATCTACATGAAAATGTAGATTCAATATCTGTACATTTTTCACGATTTTTTTGAAATAAATAAAATCATCATTCGCATCAGCACCTACTAATGTTAAAGTAAAAATCAGCATTCCACGTACAAATCAATAATTTCAAGTAAAAATCAGTTTTCCACATCAGCTTATGAGAATGCAGCCGCATTCGCTGATGTGGAAAACCCTTAACCAGCAACAACCCTAGTTGCATTGGCATTTGAGTCTCAATAGTGTCTGTGGAACGGTAGTACTAACATTCATTCATCCAATCCCTAATGATTGATGTTGCCTTACCAAATATATTATAGTAATTACTATGCATATCTTTAATTTTTAACTCGTTTAACGAGCTATTTAGTCTTCGAATTAAATATATATAATATTAGTAAACTACATCGGCGACGTATCATGGACTCGCCATCGAAGAGCAGAATACCAAAAAAATTGCAATGGCAGTTGAATGGTAGCTACTACTACTCTTAAAATTTAGAAGAATATCAAACGTTCCATTCCATTTGTTCCATCCACCAAATCCTCGTATTGACAATTCATATACACACAGCCAGGATGATTTAAACTAGCAGTCTTGGGACCCTGGACTTTTGCTTTGCTGCCGTCGTCAACGCCCGCGGGAAAAACATCCACGGGACGCTGGCTTCGTTTTAGCTCCCTCTAAATCCTAATCACCCTTACACTCTTCCACTAATTGATGATATCGGCAACAACGTTAAGATAACTATAATATTGTGTATGTAACTGTTGCGGATGCATAAAGTAAATACTAATTTCAGTTTATTAAACCTGGTACTTCGTTAGCTCTCTCGTTTATATTTAATTGATTTGAGTGGGCAATACTCAAACTGTTCTGGGGATAATGAATTTAATTGCCATAGGGTAATGCCTTGGGCAAATTTCATATTAATCCAGGCTAATGAATTCTATGTGAATAAATATGATATGAATCTACAATTTGTACAAGGTGTAAATATTTTGGAAGTATTAGTAACATCTTAGACAGAGTGAAAATCTCGAATACGCGTTTTCACATATTTCGTTTTTACTGATACATCATTGCGTTTACTACTTTTTACCCCACATTCAAATTTTCGTCCTGAAAAATTACATATCAATCACATACGACGTATTCACTCTAAGACGACGATAAAGTTTACTTTTTATTATTGATACAGATATATTATTAATATTGATAAGATAGAATAACACAGAAAAATTACCTCGATCTGACTAGCATGGCAACAGACAGTGGTTCGGTCTAAGTAGTGTATTTTTGCAAAAAGATATATAGACACGATGGTAATAAAACATTATGATATTCAATAAATAAAGTTTTCTTTTTTACTTTACAAATTTTTTTTATATACATAGGTATAAAGAAGTATTAAAACTGGTAAACAGAAAGACATAGTCAATGAAAGTAAATTTCGATACTTAAGAAGAATCCCCAAGTTTTAACAAATCAGTGTATCAGTGATTGATGGCCATATAAGGATATTATAGCGATCTATGACCGATAAAACTACGCATTTCAAAGCACGCCAAATACTCGAATTTAGCATTAGCGCAGCTTAAGATGTTCCCTAACTCAGCGAACTTTTCATGTCAGCTTTATTACTAGTAACAACCTGGTGAAAAAGTATAAATTGTACTCATAAAGATAAAGATAATTTTATCTTCATGTACTTTACCTGTGCAGGGATCACCTTACGTAACCGAATATGCTACTGGTTGTTTTCTCACCTTATAACAAATTGACGTTTCTCCCTCGCCAGTGCTTCACAGACTTTCTGTACACCATCCGGTTCATCTGGCACCAGCAGTTCTCCATTAGACCCCAGCATGTAGCTTTTAGGCATTAAGTTATCTTTCAAAGTCTGCTGATCTTCTACGTGAATTATACTGAAAATGTTCTGCCCGAGGAGATCCAACTGAGAATAAAAATATAAGTTTGAAAAGTATCAGTCACATAACCAAGTCTACGGGCGTTTGTTGTCTATAATACTAACGATTTGAGTTCATTATGTCTCATCATACTAATCAACGCATAACCAACGTCCAGTTTTGCCAAATGTATAGCCATACAGAGGGTGAACGCTGTTAGTATTTTAGCCACCCCTCCGGAAGCACCCCAATTTCATTCATCAAGGGGATGTTAATGTAATTTCGACATTCTTTTCGTCAATTTTTTGAGCAAATGACAGTTAACCCGTTTGCTAATGTAGTTTGCAATTATATGGAAAATTTGACCTTAAAGCATTTTGAACCACAATAAGTAATCGAGATCTGTCCAATGGCTTAAATGTAAATTATTTTCTTTCTTTATAACAATTCTCAATGCAAAAACACGTTTCGAACGGGTTATACGAACCAACGGCGTCTCATACTTTTTTTTTGTACATGCTAAGGTGTGCGCTTCTTATGCGCTGGTGAAGGTGCTGGTGAAATTCGACAAATGGGACTTGTCAACTTATATCTTAGAGTGATGGGCGCAGTGGCAGTGCACCTCAGATCTTTGCGATTTAAAGCTCTGAGTGGCACTGCAACTGTTATGGACAGGCATGTAGGCCTTACAATTTATTGTAAAATCTCTTCGACAGTACAATTTTTATACAAGTAGACAGCATATGCAGTTACCGCTCGGTATGGTTCGGCATTGATTAATATTACGTGTATGATAATGACATTTCAAATTGCCAAACATAATAGTTTCACATTAATTATATTATCTGTGATATAGTATCGATTTTCATTTCGGAGCAACAGTAACAAAAAGCATTATGCAATGTGAACGTTAAATGTTATTCAAGTCTAAATTTTTTTTATAACGCACTCGTAACTTCGACAAGGGAAAACCTGTATCCCGGGTGCCATGAACACACACATAGACATACACAAATTACACCCAAACTCACGAAATAAATAAACGTAAGCCACAGAAATATTTCTCCCGGCCCGGGAAGCGAACCCGGAACCTCTGCGTGGCAGGCAGTCCAGCATGGTAACCTTTCGGCCACGGAGGCATTTGAAGTTAAGCCAATTGAAAAATGCTTATGTTATTTATATATCTCAAGCGAACATCTCGAACAAGTCGTGCGCATAATGGTAAGGCCTACATGCCTGTATATGGTGGTAATACTATATATTTTGCCCCGTCACTTGATATTATAAAAAAAAGCACTGGCACATCGGCCGTATTTTACTAAATGTTACTAAAAGCCAAACCATTAGAGTATAGTGAAATACAGAAATACATCATACAGAGTCAGACTATTTGTACAAGTACAAGTCATGTTGGAAAATTAAAAAATAAACTTTTACATGCCAGAGTTCAAATTTATTAATCCTTACCTCTGTGTATCCAAGGTGGTTCTGCACGTTCTGTGAGACAACTACGATGAGACCCCTGTAGGTGGTCGTGAGCAGGAACCCATTAAGCAGGCCGAGTACTGCACGCGCTGATTCTGAACGAAACTCGCGCGGGAATCTTCCGATTGATTCGCCAAACACTAATAATGGTAAATAGAAGTGTAAATTGTAAAATACACACAACCGCATATTTCTATCACACATTTAACACAACGAGTAATATTGATTATACTGCCGTATAATTTTTTTAGTTACCTGTCAGGAACATAAAGTTCAGACAGGAACATAATTATCTACCATTGATATTCTTTATTTCAGATGTCAAGATTTAACATGGAAATTGGTCAAAATTACGAGAATATATTAGTTGAATCTATGTTTCAATTGTGAAAATGAACGTGATTGTTTTTAATTAATATTTTTTTATTCGTATTATATCAACCGCATCCTGCATTTACCTACTAATTTTATTTTATAATACAAACAGTTCTGTGTTTAGCAACGAATCTCTAATTTGGCTTCCTCGTTTTAATTTGACAACTGACCGATTGCTGTGGTGCGGTAGGTCAATGGGTGCGATGAATTATTATTGACCGATAACACAACAATAAATACAGTAGAAGTGCTCAGTGGGGCGCCAAACGTGTACTAACACTACGCGAAGTTCCGCATACTTGAGCTCAGTCCGCAATTCTTGCTTTGTTCGATATGGTCGTGTCAATTTATCTCGCGCAAAATCTCAAAAATCGTGGAATAATGCCTTACTTGGCTCCTTTGGAGTGCATATCAATGGTGGTGTTTCATATCATCGTTAAGTCGTATTTAATTTTATTTTAATAAATTTTCAAATTGTTTAGAGTAGTAGATTTTTTGTTATATAATAATAATAATAATAATAATGTTTATTTACTTTAAACAAACAATGTACAGACATACAAAATAATTGTGGTGAAAGTGGGTGAAATGTGTCAGGGCACGCATTAAGCGACAATTAAGAGAATCAGGAGCGGTGACCAAAAAGATACTATTGAAATAATAATACTATTGAGTTATTTCACATATAGCTTCAGTATTATCATATCCTAGACCAAGTAACCAAGAGTTAATCTTCCTTTTACATTGAATATTGTTTAATGTATAAATAGATAGCTCCTTATTAATTTTATTGTATACATACGTACCTAGGAATATGAAAAATCTTTGAATGAAGCTCGTACGTATCGTGTATTCTTGGTTACAGACTATATCAAAGCGCCTTTTCTGTAAGATGGTAGGGTCAACAACAAGTTCTTTATGTTTTTTCAGTAAAGTGCATAAAATGAAAAGTTGTCTTATGCTTAGAACCCCACAAGATTTATACAGTAAAGTTGTAGGGTACAAATATGGTCGGAATGTACATAGTTTCAAAATGGCCCTTTGCGCTGGTGGTGGTTTTTGGTGCACCACCCCAGGAGCCAATACAATATGTGCAAAGTGATTGGCAAAGTGCGTAATAAATTCGTTTCAACAAGTTAAATTCCATGACATGTCGAAGGGTTTTAAAGAAAAACATCAGTTTACGAACTCTACCACTTACAAGATTGATGCGTTCTTTAAAATTAAGATTTTGGTCTATGAGGACACCAAGATATTTAATCGAAGGCACTTGAGCTAATGGCTTACAGTCACATTCCACATTACATCCAAAACAGGTATGAGCAATAATATTCATATTATCAAATCTTTTAGTAGACCGGATAGAGAACGTTAAAAATTTGGTTTTATCAGTATTTAATGAAGGCGCATTTCTGTAGAGCCAAGCTGAAACCTTGTTGAGACCATGTTGAGCATTTTTGACCACTTCCGCCCAAGAACGAGTGTTGCAGTATCATCTGCATATGCAACAATCCTTCCATGACTGAGATCAATCTGGCACAACTGGTTTACATAAATTAAAAATAGCGTAGGACCCAGGTTGCTACCCTGTGGCACCCCATAGCTTACAATACGATCACTACTAGTAAAATCACCGATTTTAACACATTGGTATCTGTTAGTTAGGTAGCTTTTAAAAAGAGACAGTTGACAGCCGCGAATGCCAATTTCTTCCAGCTTGTTCAGTAAGATTGGGAAAGATACCGTATCAAAGGCTTTTGCCAAATCTATAAAAACACCGATGCACTTTTTACCGTCATTCAACGATGCTGCAACAAAGTTAGTCAAAGTATGAACCGCGTCAGCTGTTGATTTACCTTTCCGAAAACTAAATTGGTGTTCTGAAAGAAAGCCCTGTTTTTCAATATAGTTGACCAATCTGATGTTGATAAGTTTTTCCAGAAGTTTCGAGACGGATGGTAGAAGTGCGATTGGCCTATAATTAGGTATAACTTTTTTGTCACCACCTTTATAAATGGGCCTGATAACAGCTTTCTTTAGAACTTCAGGGAAAATACCAGAGCGAAAGCAATGATTAAAAATGTGAGTCAAGGGCGGCACAAGGAAATTTATAAAATCTTTCAGTATCCGATTTGAGATCTTATCCCAACCCACCGAGCTGTTATACTTTAGGTTCATGATTAATTCTTCGACTTCAGCTTCGTCCGTGTCTAGCAACATAAAAGAGTTTAAACTTGCAGCAGAATCTGTGTCACAGCATTTGGAAGCAAGAGGGTCAGTTTGAAATTTCTTTGCCAGTGCAGCAGCTACATTAACAAAATAATTATTAACAACGTTAGCCGATGATTGAGATGTATTGTCAAGGCTAAGTAATTGAGTATCATTGTCAGATAAGTTCTTCCTGAAAGTGATGTTATTGATAGCTTCCCAAAGTTTTTTATTATTGTTTCCTGCCTTGAAAATTTGTTCCTTATCATAAGCTCTTTTCAACTTTTTTATTAATAAATTACAATAGTTTCGATAACGCGTATACGTCAACTTATTATATTCATTTGTAGGATGCGACCTGTGTTTTTTATGTAATTTGTCTCGATGTCGGATACATCTTAGTAATCCAGGCGTCATCCAAGGTTTTAAAAGCTTCTTTTGTCTGGGTAACACTTTCATGTGAGTATTTTTCGTTAAAGCAATTATCAAGTTGTCCACTAAATAGCTCATAGAATAATTTGGATCAATAGACGAGTAGATTGGTACTAGGTTAATATTTAAAATATCCAAGGACAATCCTTCCATATCAACTTTAGTATAATATTTATTTGGAATCTGCTTAGGACTATCCGATTTGATCAATGTGAGTACAGCCTTATGATCAGTTACAGTAGAGTTTAAAACTATAGTTTTAGCTGCAAAATTCGTTTTCAGAAGGACATGGTCAATGCAAGTACCACTTTCTTCCCTTGTCACAAAAGTATGGGCTGGAAGAAGACCGTGACTAGCGACTAAGTTTAAATACTTGTCAGTATGTTCTTCTACAAATACTTTGTTATTAATCGCGATGTTAATGTCCCCGGTCAATATTATATTACTAAATTCAGATAGAGTTTTTAAGATACAATCAAGTGAGAGAAGGAAATTACTAATATCTTTATATGAGGGAGATCGATAAATTGCAATGAGTGCTATGGTCGTGTCAATTTTTAAAATAAGGCAATTTCCTTCCTGGAAAGGTGGTTCTTCAACAGTAACTGAAAGGCGATCGTTTACAAACAACACTACTCCATCATTTTGGATAGGGTTGTTTTTAGTAGCAAATCCACTATAGCCCACTCACGCCGGAAGAGCAGTGCCACATGATAATCTACATTCTGTTAGTACTATCAGATCGATATCAAAGTTGAGTGTCTGTAATATAACTTCGAAACTAGGTAGATTACAATTTATACTTCGGATATTTTGAGTGATAATTGATAATTGTTTGGAGCATTTAGGAACATGGCGATGGCAGTTATCGACATCGGAGGTCACAGATTGTGAGACAGAAAAAAGATCTAATTCATTATTTATATCATTTTGTAAGTCGAATTTTAAAAACAAGGTATGTAATTTATCATTATGTACTTTTTTATGCAAAAAAAATAGAGTGTTATGTGTATTGTAGAAGTACTTTAGATTATGGGAAACTTGTAATTGATCGTAAACAGCGTTAATTGCGTGCGCACTGATTTTATTGGAGTGTTTGTGAATGTTTGTGTGTGTGTAAGTGTGGAAGTGTGGTTTGTATTGGAAAGAGTAATTTAACAGTATAAATACATGGTACAAAAACGAATAACTTGCGAAAAAATTAAAACTATAAAAATAACTGAAAATATTTAACATGCAAAATAAAATTATTTGGGGAACTAGTCACTTCTGTTTCTGAAGTTCCTGCAGTGTCAGTTCATCGTCAATTCTTATTTGTGGAGCAGATTCTTTTTTGCGGAGATATACCACTCCTCGCAAGGTCCAGCAGAAATCGTACTTATGTTCAGCGGCAAATCTCCGAGCATGGTAGAACAATCTCTGCTGTTTTTGGGTTAGTGCTTCCGCAATATACACAGGCTGCATTGGAATTTCTAGGTTTAGGTGAGTGGTGTTCAATTTATCACCCTTTTTTTACCCTTGTTGAAAGTCTTTACTGCGCCAAGCGTATTTATACCGCTTTTATGAAACGTATTTATACCGCTGCAATATGGTTGACTTTTTTTGGAGAATAGACGTTAATCACTCGTCGTCTTTCGGCTATTGCCGCTAGATGGCAGCACATTGAATGAAATTTCAATATAAAATAAAAAATCGTAACTTGCAATAAAATTTTTAACGATATGCCAACTGTTCTGATAGTAATCGAGACTTAAGGCCCTTCTATTGTTTTTTTTCTTCCATATCGAAAACAATAACGTATTCGTTACAACTACTGTTGACTACTGACTACCGAATCTTATAGGGTGATATGTTTGTTGTAGCTTGTGTTCGTACCTGAAGCGTCAGTATCTATATCAGTATATATAGCATATAATTAATTACACTGTACCCGAGTGTACCGTTCTCCTGGCGTTTTTGCTTTGTAAATATCTATGTAATCAAAACGTCATAATGTATCTTTGGCATGACGGGAGAGAAAAAATTACAAAAATGTACGCAGCATTTCTATTTTCAATATCACTATTTTAAAGTAAAGGAAGGCGCAGTTTTGTTAGGAATTGTCTAGAGCAACAGGAAAAATTGC